CTTTTATTTTCCAAAAAACAAAATTTTCTTTATCCTTTTTATTATCACAGTTGATTTATCGTAATAATTGCAATTCTTATAGGTATGAATACTCTAAATTCCATCAAACCTTATTTTAGCAATACTGAAAGGTTGACTGCATTTCAACAACTGCACGAAAATCAGGTTTTTATAAGTACTTTTTTTAATGCATAACAAATGCATAACAAGAAGTCAGATTTTAAGCTTAAACTCAAGAATTTTTTGAAAAATTAGTGAACGAAATGAATTTAGATATGAATCTGATAAAATCAATTCAGGTACTGTAATATAATTGTTTATAGACGAAATCAACGTTAATGCTTTTGAAAGAGAGAGATAGCGAATCTATTCGAGCATTTACCAATAATATCATTCCAATGCAGAATTTCTACAGTGGAACATCTTTTACTGTACCGATGAGCTCCAGTTATACCTTACCTTTTAATCCGAAAATTAAGGAAATTCGGAAATCATCAGTATCAAAGGACAAAATCGGAGAATTTTTAAAGAATCATTCTATGCTTCCATTTGAAATTATAAATGCTTCTACTATACAACAACAACAACATAAGCCGAACTTTACCTTTTCACTACCATTTCAACAACATATTGACAAGAAATCTATTATATTTACCGGATCATCATCAAATAAGCCTTACACAGAAAGTAATTTCTTATTAATATTAATTATCACATCATTTCAAATAAAAATTTAGAAACTATATACCTCAAACAAGACATTTTGGTAGAATTTCAATCTGACCATATAATCTATCGATGATGAATGGACAAAAAGTCATTTGTTTCCAAAATTTTTACGGAAATTCACAGTAAGTTTCCTGAAACTGAAATTAACGGGTAATAAATTTTTTAAAATTGAAATACATAATTTAGGGCCTATTATAAATCAAAACACGAAGTCTAATGCCTCAGTAAAACATGACATTATGAGCGAACTAAATGCACTGTTATCGCAAATTGGTGAACAGCCCGTTTTGGAAATGCAGCTCCAGCAACTTGTACAACGTTTTGGATTCAATCAAATTGACGCTGAACAGGTTTAATCCGTTGTTATCAGTAATGGGATCATTAAGGACTATGTGAATTTCCGGAGTAGCAAATTTTTTAGATGGAGACATCGGAATTCCTTATTCACTATAAACTGCCATTGATTTTTTCTTTTTTTTTGCTATATAAGCTGTGATTTATTAGTTCTGACATATTTTTGTTTCAAAGTTTTCATTATTCATCTTTTTTTTTTCAGAGTTTGGAATTATTGAAGAATGCTATGAATTCAGGAGACCTGTCAGCTGATGTTGATAAAGAACAAAATAAAAAGCCTGAACCAATAAGGCCTATTAATGCACCATCCCATTTCATACCAGCCAAAGTTCTTATTTGAAAGATTCTAAATAATTCAATTTCATGAAAAATTATGTCTGGTTGAAATGTCACTTTTATTGTCAAAACTCTTTCAGGCTATGCAACTCTTCCCCTACAATGGTCGATTCAATTCACTCCCTTCATTGATACCTAATGAATTGCGAAAGAAATTTGTTGGTAAATCGAACGGTTTATTTGGTCAAAATTTAAGCGACGAAACCGTAAAACACTTGGGCTCTATACTGCCGCTTCTGCATTCAAATATTGACACATAATTGCCAGTTACCTGAAATTCATCTTGATTTTACCATTCATAACGCACAGCTATTATAGCATCATTCGTTTATAAAAAATGAGATAATGCGTTTTCCCCATTTAGTTGATTGATGTTTTATTAATTAATTAATTATCAGAACTATGTGATCCAACCAATGAAGCAAGCGCTATCCTCTTGACCTGATCTAAATTAAGTGATTGAGCATGGAAATATCAACAAAGTAAACAAAGAACAAAAAAAATATTGTCCAGGACTGACCTTACTTGGTTTATTAAAATTGATTTCCTTCACTGAAAATGGGTTCCTTCATAATTCGCTTATTAATCGATTTCAGCGCTTAGCATATAATCGTGCTTTTGTTTGACCCCTTAAAAACACCAATTATATGATATCACAGCTAATACTTTAACCTCTTCCAACTTGAAGAGTTCATTGATAAATATAATGCGTTCTCAGTGAACTATCTAAAATTCCTTTCGTTATCATTTCCGACTTTTTGCTCCCTTTCACTCATTCATTGCAAAATGCGGAAGTTTTGAAAATTTCCACAGGGTGTAATGCCTACAAATTTAGAAATGAATCGGTGAATATATTTCTAATGTTGTTACATCATTTGGCTTGGATAAAAGATTTGTAGTTGCTGAAAGTTCTCTTCAGTTTCATTCAAATTCTCTATAATCTACTTATTACGATCAAAAAAAATGTCTAAGGGAGAAGAATAAAGTTTCATTTATTATATTTTGAGAGAGAATTGAAGGAGAGAAAAGCAGAAAAATAATCTAAAAGAACAAAATTTGATGATACTGAAAAAAAGAAATTTAGTTACATCTTTGTCTCATGTTTACAGTACGTCACTTAATGTGTGGATTTTCTTTTTTTCTTCTCATGGAATCATCGCATGTCTTGAAAATATTCAATTCATAAGTTTCACCTGCTGTTGATAAAAACATGTTTTTTTTATCCTATGGCATGTTCAAATTTGATCAATGAATTGTTAAATTTTGTTCTTTTATCTCTCTCATTTATTCTCCGATTTGTTCAAAAATGTATTTACTAAAATATTTTTTTCTTACTAAGAGACAGCTGTTTGAAATATATTTTCTAAACTTTTAAGTTAAAATTTTATGTTATTATTCACTTATCAGTAATAACAAATTGATTGTCGATTATCGCATGATAACAGCAAAGTGATTCATTGCACTGGAATTTAAACAGAAATCTAATCTGCTAAAGGTTTGAATTATTTGTAGCTTTCGACTGGGACATAATTTTATAAAATGCATTTGCCGATTGATTTTTTTAAAATATATTTAGATTCAGGATAGAGTCAAGGTCGGATTGTAAAACAGATCCAGATAAGAGAAGTTACCAGAAAGTAAAAGAAGATCTGGAAATTAATTTTCTAAGCACTGGCTGCAAATTAACGAAAGAATTCTGTGAAGTAAAATTTGCACGAAAGATGGAATACTTAGAATATTATAAAAGGAATTGCAACAATGAAAACAAAGTGAAGATACGAGCAAAACAAAGAACTAATTCTCGTTGAGTTCATTAACATGAAATGACCACATCCAACAGTAACACTATACAATATGTTGTTCCCGAGACAAGGTTGTAGATGACCAAGCAGAAGATACTGTTCTATAAAAGATAGTAAAGATGTTAGCAATAAAATATTTTGTTCAATCTTTTATTTGCTTCAATCGTTTAGTTCTCGAGATGAACTCTCCAAACAACCTATAGAAATAAACGACATTTTATCCTCGAGATGATCTATCCAAGCGGAAGATTTTCCGCGATATGATTTCACATCACAAATTTCCTGGAATAATTGTGAAGTAAAAAATAACTGGCTCATTGTTAACAGACTGATCTAATCACTCACGTAATCACATTACGTCACCATGCATGAATTTTGCTGCGACGAATATTGCTACTTATAAGGAGGGGACGAACTTTGCGATTGGTTAGATAATTGGAGTACAGTGGTGGATGTGAAGCGGGGGGTGGCTGTTCGGGTTTTTGGTTTTTTTCTTGTACTGGAAGATGCAGTCAAGCTATATAACTCTGCACATATTTATCTATCCATTATTTTCCATCGCAAGCATTGCCGCGTTTAATCTCTCCACTATATTCTGATGTCATTTTGTCAATTTTTCGTCTCTGTAGATCTCTCAAAGTAGAATACTTCCAAATTAAGCCTCCATAATTTCCTTTTTTTTTCAATTTCTCTTCAACATTGTAGATTAAATGATCTTTTTTATCAACAAACACACAACGTTCAGAAACCCGGCTTAACAATACATTAATTGACCTGTGTTTTACGATTTCATTTTTTTTTTTTGTAGATCTCTCATTTCGAATGACGGTGGTTTGCTAGACCGTTCTATTATCTTTTGCTGTTATTGCTTTGGCAATGCAATCAGCTGTTGAGGTCACCACGATGACGACACAATTAGGTTCTCAAAGTGTTGGTGGTAGCCGAGTATCCGTAAAAGACTTATGTTGCCTTTTCTGTTGTCCTCCACTTCCTTCCTCAATTGTTTCCAAACTAGCTTTTATGCCGCCTGAGGCAAGCTATCGCATTGTGAAGCATGATTCCCAGCTGTAAGTATTATTCTGTTTTGATTTATCCAATCGACGGTTATATGTGATACGTGATCATAACATAATGAAGATAAGATAGTGATAATATCAAAGTTTCATAACGGAATAAGCTGTATGCTTTTTTATACCAAAGTTTTAATTTTGAAAGCTTTCTTAAAATTTCCATTATGTTATTAGTAAGATTTTCTCATTTATATGTTAATTCAGCACTTCACTAGAATTAGTGGAAGGACGAGCAGATTGGCCGCATGGCTACGATGAACTCCGTAACATCGATGTCTTCCACACTCGAACACGGCGAAGGTCAGATTAAATATTTTTTGCCTGAAAATTTTTGCTTGAAAAAAATTAAATATTTTTGCTTGAAATATTTTAAAATAATTTTTATTATTTTGTTACAGGGAGATGAAGCAAAGAAAGGTCGCTGAGAGATTTAGCCAATTCGTCTTTACTTCCATCGTCCTTTTACTATTAGGTGTAATGTAGTGTTTTCCAGGCAGTAACTTTGTAGACTATAATATATTGACCAAGTTTTAAGGGTATAATGAAATAAATTTCAGAAATGACATTGTTTGTATGTATGTTAAACCATGTGGCGATGCTCGTTTCACTTTATTATTTTCACATGGCAACGCGGTTGACCTCGGACAGATGTGTAGCTTTTATTATGGACTTGGTTTTCGTCTCGGATGTAATGTTTTTAGCTACGATTATTCGGGTACATGTTGCTTTATAAATGATTTACTCAAGAAAACCTAAAAATTATAATGGATTGCTTCTGGTTATTACTTCGAAAAGATAAAAAAATTGTAATAGATTGGAAGAAATGCCTCGGTGATCTTACATATCAAAATATTTCATTTATTATCAGATTGTAATCGGCATAATTGATAGACTGGAGAATTAGAAAAAATATTTAATGAAGTTTGAGTTTGAAAAATAATTTGAACAAGCGAAATAATACAGGATTTGTTGGCGATGATATCTTATTTTTAGAAACTGTTTTTGAAGAGTGTAATTGATAACACTGCATATGACATAGTTAATTCATCTAAATAAGTTCTTGTAAAGTCAATCAAATATCGTATCACGCAGGTGTTTACGCCTTTTTTCATTATACCAAGTTCTTCGTGACTATATCCAGAAATTGTTATAATGCATTGTATTTCTAGGATATGGCTGTTCTAGTGGTAAGCCGTCAGAAAAGAACCTCTACGCTGATATTGCAGCAGCATTAGCAGCATTACGTTCAAGATATCAGATGCCTTTAAATCAAATTATTTTGTATGGTCAATCAATAGGTAGGTGCGGTTTTAATTATGTAATGTTTGGTTTGTTACCTCATTTTTTCGTTTTGTTTGTTTTAAAACCTATAATAATAAAATTTATAATTCTCCTAGTTCTTATATGTCAAAACCTCTTCTCTATAAGCAGTGATTGGTTGAACATTTTTTCAGCAATCGCTTGAAATGAATCGATATATTATTCGTAAGTCACCATTTTTTACAATCTTGCTCTATTTTATTCATTTCAGGAACAGTTCCAAGTGTAGATTTGGCAAGTACCGAAAGCTCCGTAGCAGCACTTATCTTGCATTCTCCGCTGATGTCCGGAATGCGTGTGGCGTTCCCTGGAACACAGCGAACGTGGTGCTGTGATGCATTCCCATCTATCGATAAAGTAGCACGCGTACGTTGTCCAACGTTGGTTATCCATGGTACTGACGACGAAGTTAGTTACTGTTGCAGTTTATGATCGTAAATCCCTATAAATATTTCTGACTTCTGTTTTATGTTATTCACCATAAGTTATGACTACATTGGATTTAAGTATATCAGTAATTGCCATTTTATGTTACCGGATAATTATCGCCGAAATTATAAGTTATTATGTGTAATTTTCTAAGCAATCTCAAAATAATAATCTTCATTTGCCATAGACACTTTTTTCGCAGGTAATCGATTTTTCGCATGGTGTGTCCATTTACGAACACTGTCCTTCATCGGTTGAACCACTTTGGGTGCCTGGCGCAGGACATAACGATGTCGAACTACATGCAGCATATCTTGATCGGCTGAGAGCATTCATCGAAAATGAAGCTAGAGCATTCATCGAAAATGAAGCTTATAGAGGAAAAGAAACTAGCACTACAACAACAACAGCTGTAACTCATAGTACTTCATAATGGTTTGGTAATATTTGTTGTCTTTTCCATAATCACCTTGGAATTCTTAAAGTTTCAAGACTTTTTTTAAATTGGAAATTGGCGGATGAATTTACAAAACCAACTGGATATTTGACGAATTAAATTATTTTATTTACGAACAAATTATAATGTTTTAGGAAGTCCAGTTTTGGTTAGTATTTTCAAGTTAATTATGAGATTATGCTTTTGAAATTCTTCGTAGCCTAAAAAGAACCTCCACAAAATATCAACACTTACACTATTCACCTTTGAAAGGTTATTACCAACTTTGTGCACTTGGAAGAAATTTGAAAAAAAAGCGAATTTTTTCAAATCCATTTTTTATAGTTTTGAAATAACCCGCTGTTTGTGTGGCATGTTTTTAGAAGAAATTAGATGAGGCTAATCAGAAAAAAAGATTTATGTTGTACTTGAAAAGTTTGTTACATTGAAGTTTCGAATATTAAAAAATCAATGATATGAATGCAAAGTGATAATTGTTCGATGTTTTTGAATGGCTTGAAAAGGATCATTATAGGTAGGGTCAGCGGTTTTGCAATTTATGATTTTGGTTCAGATTAGTTAATATGGTTATGTTTTTCTTGAATTTCGTGCTACTCATCAAATACTCTTTATATTTATGACAAATATTTGTTCATATTTAGGTGCCTTCAAACTTTGTCCTTTTCAATGCAGTATTTGGCATTGCTTATTGGGATTTTTTTTTCTCGTCTAGTACCATTCCGCTGCAATTTGATGTTGCCATTCAATGTTTTTGTTTTTTTCCCATTCTTTTACACTATTTTTGGGAAAATTTGAAATATATTTCATGGGGAATTTTAATTACTATAGTTTGTCATCAGTCTTTTACATGTGTATGTCTTTTTATAGCCTCAATTATTCTGATAGAAAAAAATATATTATTGGGGTAGTAATTTTTCATCGGCTGAGGTTTTAACGGTTAGATTTATTTGAAAATTTTGAATTGTTACAGTTACACTGAGTTGATATATGGATCTTGAGTATAATTTCAATTTCAGTTTAAAATTTGATTATAGTTAAATTTGGCAGCGGTTATCACGCCACACTTATATTTTATGATTTTTTTTACTTCTCTCTATTTTTTATTACGCTGTGGCAGATCTTTACTTTCTAAGATTACTCTTATTACTGGGTAAGATCAGTTGGCACTACTTGAAAGCAAAACAGGCATTTTATAAAATTCTACTTATGTGAATAAATCAGGTCTTATCACTTTCGTTTTCAGTATGCTTATTTTTTAAAAAACAAAATCAGTTATACGGCTTTTTTTTCATGCTCTTTGATCAGTTGATTTTGCTTTAAGAATGTTGGAAAATACATTTCATTCACTTCTCTTAAGGACGTACTTATGTTTGTTCATTAAAATTGCTTGATTTTGGTAATTCATTGCAAGTTATTCTTCTTAATTTTTTTTGCTCTGAATTACTTCGAAACATTTTTTTTGTCCAGGTTGAAGAAGTTTCGGAATCTCAAGTAAATTATAATGGATTATTTGAACTATTCCCATTTCAGATCGTCACAATCGCTTTTTACTAAAAGTTTGGCGAATTTTGTGTTTGTTTTGATTCTTTCAAATGTAATTTATTCACTTTGAAAAATCTTTCAGAGGAAACATCACTTAAAGTTGAAAAGTCGCTGTTTCCTCTGTCTGAAGAATAAAGTTTTCATTTATAATTAAGGACTCTTTTGTCAATGCTTTTAACTAAGAAAACTAATTAATGAGACAAATTTTATATTGATACGTTTAGAGGGCGATCAAAAGTACTGAATTTTGGAATCATTTTTTCATATTTATTGGAGACTATGAACTAGTTTAGGCATAATATCTAATTTAGTAAATTGATTTGGGTGTTATGATTAGACATAGTTTTGTAGTGTTTAAAAATGTTGAAAGATCTAATACTGGTCCGAATCATCTATCATTTTAGGAATATAATCAAAAACCTGTTGATGACAGATACATTAGTTTCGGTTTCAGGGGAGGAGTGACCATATCACGTTTTATGCTCCAGTATCTTGCAAGACTTCGAATATTTGTATTTAATTAATTCATTTTGTAGTTTTCTTTGTTAAATTTGTTATTTGTGGGCACTATTCTCATGGGTTTGTATGACACTGACTTAACCCTACCATAGTAGTAGAGTGGAAATAGTTCCCTCGACTTCCCAATGTTTGAATAAAAGAAAAGAATTCTATGATTTTGCATTCCGGCTTTATTTTTGGCCTTATTGTTTATCATTATTATATGAGTATGTATATTTGTAAGTTTGATGAGAAGTTATGTTTTGTTACTAGTTTGGTTAGTGATTTTTTTTGTCCTCTTCCATGATATACTTTTTGTATTTTTATCTCAATAACGTACTTCTCCTCATTGTGGGTTGTTTTTAGTTTATTGTTGAAAAACTTCAAATCTTAAACATGCAGTAATTAGTTAGATAGCAATTCTCAGAAAACCTAGCTTCCCAGAAATTGTATTCTAAAACTTCTTTCTATATTTTTTCAACTAGCCATTTTTTAGAAAATATGTGTCTTGTTTTTCTCTTTGCTAGATATTAAAAAAAATCTTTATTTAAGAATTTTCTAAATAATTTTGAAATTGTGACCATTTTTTGAAAAATATGATTATGGTTTCTTCTACTTTGAAAAAGAGACGTTATCATAGTGATCAAGTTGAAAAGAGAGAAGCAGGTCTTTAACCATTACTCTGCTGATAAGATAGTTTGCTTTCATCTTTACACTTTTGATGTGGAACGATTTTCAAAGATTAAAACGCTTTTCACTTATTTTTTTGATTTCTAACATTATCCGTTTAATTTCTTGATACTTGTTGTTCTTATCTGTTGATACCATTTTCTCTTTTTTTGATGTATGAAAACAATTCCTCTTTAATATTCTAAAATGAAATTCATTCTTTTTTTAAAATAAATTTCAAAGAATTGCTGGTTTGGTGAAATTCTTAGTTTAGTTTTTTTTAATTCATTTATGAAAAATAGTCTTTAATTTTCACTGTAGTTATCCATGCATTTCATTGAAATAAAAAATGTTTGAGATATGACAGCGGTCCATCGATTTTGCTCGATACACTAATATCGAAGCAGGGAAAAAGGACAGAACCCAGAAATCAACTGAGAGCATAAGTTCAAGCATTCTATAACTTTTGATTCTTCAGTATTTTTTTAATAGCCAAAAATTTTAAATCAGCTAAGTAAAGTTTATTTTACCGGAAAATTGCCTATGCTTTATTATCTAACAGCGCATGGAAAATGCATCCATCCAAACACGCAATGAAATGGATTATTGACTAGCAGAATATTTCCACTTTGCTAAAACGGCTCTGGGAATAATCAAATTCGATTAATTTTAAGTGGAACAGAGTGAATTTTTCTGACATGCGATTTAAATCATCATTTGCTTTTTCTTACATTTAATAATTCGGGCACAAGAAGAGTGAGCAGGTTGCTTATTGGAAATTTATCGGAAATGCAATACTTCATAGAGATTTTCGTCTAAATTCAGTAAAATTGCAAGAACTAAAAATTGAATAACATTTGGAAAAAATTTAGAAGGGCAGGAACTAATAAAGACAATTGTTACGGCTGATAATCACTTCTCCTGGACTTCATTTTTTACAGCATCTAAGATTATTGGAATTTAAATTCGCTAAAATGTGAAGGGGTGATAAAAAGATGATCGAGGGACGACAAAAAGATATCAAAGATTGTAGGGATTATGTCGATGGCATCAACTACAAATGATATCAAAGAGGAGTTATAATTTGTATTTATTTTTTACTAGTTTTTTCTTTTTACTTTAACCCATTTATTCAAGTGAAAAATTCGATGAGCTGATAAGAAGATAAGGATGGAAGATAAGGCGATGACCCTTTGGATTGCTATTTATTCATCTGGAATCATATGATGCTTACCATTGATTGGGGCTTCAAATCGAACTTCAAATATCTGGCTTGTTAGCAGTTTTAAGAACTTTAACATCTGAATTCATTACCATTTAACACGCGTTCTTCTCGGCATTAAAATATTTTTGTACGTTTTTGATTTATCCGTATAGAATTTGTTTTAGACACTTGATCCTAGAAATTTTGGAAATCAGTATTGTTATAAATATTAGTTTTAAAAAGTATTAAAATGTAGTAGTTGAAATAGTATATATAAGAGTTAAAATACTCCAAAAAATATTACTTACCATTAATGGAATATTTAAACATTCATCCAAATCAAAGTAATCGACAACTGAGATTCTTTCTTCCTTCAAACTATTTGGATTGCTTCTCTTTGATCGACTATTTAGTATACAATTATCATCTTTCTGCTGAAAATTAACTCATATTTCTCGACAAAATGAAAACTAATAATGAAGTTATCACATTTTAGAAAAGGGGAGTGAAACAAGTTGAAGCAGTTTTTTTTTAAATCTCAATACCTAATAGAATAATGGAAAGAATAATAAAATAATCATATAATTTGACCTCATAAAAGTACATTAGCGAGTGACACTGAAATGTTCGTCCATCTTGAAGTGACCATAAACATTTTAATAAGCATTTCATTAACGTTGATGTTGTTAAAATTGCATCAGGAAAAGTGATAAGTACGTGTTGTGGTTGACGTTCAATTAGTGCTCCATTACATAATTTTGCTATTTGTTCTATAGGAAAAAGGAAACAGTTGATATATTTCTTTGAAACATTTCTAAAAGATAAACTAAGAAAGAGTAATATTTGAAATATTTTAAATTTTGAGAAAGAATAATTTTCAGTACCTGAAAAACAATGTTTCTCATAGTAAATGGTTGAAGCATCACGTATTAAAGTATTGTTGGCTGGATAAATTACTGAATATAAACTACAACGATTTGAATCTTCGTCAAATATTGCTGACGAACAATGATAAGCTGTACTATTTTTGTACTGAAATTTCAAATTAAATTATTTTAAAAAGAATAAATGAATAGAGAAAATAAGTGAGCAAAATACGATAATACTGATTTGATATAGCTAATTTTTTTGTGGTTTAACTTAAAGTCAACTGTTTCCATAGAAGTTTACTTCCATTTAAGACAAAGAGAAACGAATAATATTGGTAGAGTAATGAGGAAAACAGTATTTTACCCTATTTGCATAACAAGATTGCAGGCAATCTATTTTAGTTGTGAAATATTTCCGTCCACGACCATTGAACTTTGATATCCTCCATCCTGGCGCTTTCGTCATCACTATATTTTCACCAATTGGACAGTCTAAACAAATAACTTTTAGTTGAAAATCCAAAATTTTCATCTTTTATTCAATGATTTTAAATTACCTTTTATTCCTTAATCTACACATTATTAAAAGATTATGTTGAGAATTCAGAAAGCGTACCATATTGTTGCCCCGTTTTACTGTACTTTAATAAAATGTCATGATGAACAGAGGATATGTTTAAGTTTGTTCCAATTCTTTCCACTTCTCGCTTGCTAAAGAAAAAATGCTATGAAATGAAAAAAAAATGCATATTTCTTGTTATATCAAAATTTAAATGAATAATTCTAGAAACGAATAAATGAAAAATTAAAAAACAAATAAGTTTAAAATAAGTAATTAGAAATTATTTAATTCTCAATTATAATATCATACAGAAATCTTTTCATTTTTATCGATTTCTTTTCACCATCAATCTTTTTGCTCACTGTTATTTGTTTTGAAGGATTTTCTGAAAAATGAAAAACAAAAAACAGATTTAACTGCAATCCAACTATAGCTCTTTTAAAAATTTAAATCATTATTTTACATATTATGTATAT